ACTACTACTACTACTACTACTACTACTACTACTACTACTACTACTACTACTACTACTACTGCTGCTGCTGCTGCTGCTGCTGCTGCTGCTGCTCCTATTACTGCTGCTGATACTATTACTACTACTGCTACTACTACTCAGGGCTCACCTTTTCAGGCCAACTTAAGAGGTTCCTTCACCCTTTGGGTTACTATTTTAAGGGGTATTTAAACCCTTGTTTTAGAAACGTAAAGGTAAAAGTCAATTTCTCATAATTTTATAGTAAGATGTTTTGCTTGCAAACATTTAACTCACACGCTCATTCACACAGACACACAGAGTGACCATGACTATGATTGAATGCTAACGATTTTAATTAACTTGAGAAATAAATGAATACTATTGACTAGAATTAGAGTTGTGTCCATTTGGAGGGGGGAAGAGTGGTGGTGGTTGAGCAGTTGGGGCTATCAAAAGTAAAATAAAGTTGACAAACCAAAAGGGGTCAACTCCGACTATAACACTCCAAGACAAATAGACCTGCCATTCTATGAAATCTAAAAGTCAGGATCTCCGTGGGGAAAAAATTGGGACTTTGTGAAAAAAAATCGGGATCAACGACAAATAACCTAGGTCACTGCCAAGCTGACTTTAAAAAAATTAATAAGGGGTGTCCATTATTATATCCATGTATGTTCCCTCTGTGCGCCCACATGTGTGTGTGAGTGTGTGTGTGTGTGTGTGTGTGTGTGTGTGTGTGTGTGTGTGTGTGTGTGTATATTACTATGTTACTATAGTGTACATCTATGTCCCCGACACATGTGTAACTCACACGCCGAAATCATGTCAGGAGGTGCGAACGCGCGATTGAAACAGTTTTACTGACAGCTCTGGATGACAGGTCCGATTAACCAAAACTTGGACAAAGCATGTTTTGGCGAACGTAGATCTTGAGAATGTCTTAAGTCGGAATGCCAAACCAATACTACTTCCAATCCATTATAGTTGAAGTAACACGTGTGAGCAAAGATCCAAGACAACTTTTGGTGAGTCAACTACTAAATTCGACATAGACATTTCGGAAAAGAGTGCTCCGAGTTTCTGCTAACAAAAAGTTTAACGAGTGCTTCCCACGACAGAAAAGAAGGCAAGAGTAAGATTTTAGAAAAATCCGGCGCAACAGGCAGAAGAAATAATTAAACCAAAAAAAGTCAGGGAAATCGGGATGCTAGGGATTTAGGGCAGGGATGAGTGACAGGTTTGGAAAATAAACTGATTCATTATTCTTCAGTGCCATTCCAGGGTTCCCATTCCAGTCTTTCCACACTTTCGATGACGGACAATTCATGTTTACTAGATCTAGTGTGTTAAAGAAGGATGGGGGGTAATCTCACAGCAGGGGTTAACTCAAGGCACGACAGGGCAAATGTGAGCAACCAGAATGTGGGCAGAGCTTCTGTGACTTCTGTGCTGAAGCAAGCCTGTGTTGCCGGAAACAGCGCGCAGCTGATAAGTAGGTCGACTAGTCGACTTCTTTTGACCGGAGACAAAAAAGTAGTCATCTCCGTTTTGACACAGAAGGTGACTGTCGTGCATGTGTGTGGGTGTGTCGTCAAATCATTGACTGGGCTTTGGGATAAGAGAAGGGGGGAAATGATGCTTGCCAGATGCACACCACCTACATTTTAAAGCGTATGCAAACCCCCCGAAATGAAATTATAAAGAGTAGAGCTCTCACGCCCAACCAAAACTTAAAGGTTTAATGCGTAATATACGCACATTTGTGCGTAAAGGGGAGCCTTGACTACTACTACTACTACTACTACTACTACTACTACTACTACTACTACTACTACTACTACTACTACTACTACTACTACTACTACTACTACTACTACTACTACTACTACTACTACTACTACTACTACCAGGGGCGAAGGCTGACTTGTTTGACAGGGTAATCAAAGTGAAACGGGACCAGATATGGCCTGTAGATATGACACTTTATGTTCAACCGCCAAAATAATCGGGAAAGTATCTTATTAAATATCAGTTCCAACTAAAATTAAATTTAACCTTAGATGTGAATACATAAACACAAAGCAAAGAAGCAGAGACGTCAGTACTAGATCTATATGTTATAGATCTACACAAAGCAAAGAAGCAGAGACGTCAGTACTAGATCTATATGTTATAGATCTACCAGTGAGTCTAACTCTTTGGTAGAACATGACAATTATCATTTTTAAAATTTTACATTTGGTTGTTTTTGTTAGCCTTCCGCGGCCAGGAGCTGGTGTCATAATGGAGGTCACGATCTGATTATAGGACGGTAAAAAGTCGAGGAAAAAAAGCAAGTACTTGCAACAGTGAAGAGATTGTTAGGAGTTAGTTCCTCTCACATTTGTGAGGTAGACTCGACCAGTGTTAGTTAGCTTACATAATCAGGGCTTGAGATTGATTTTAACTGTGACCCCAAAGGGGTGAACAGGGTATATGTGGCAATGAAACAGCTTAGACTGCTATGCACATGTTCCCTTCAACTATATTGGTGGACTCTTCCAGCCTCACTTTAAGCTTACTTAATCAAAGCTTGCGACTGCTTATGGAGTGGCCCGAGAGGGGTGAGGAGGCTATTTCTGTGGCCGTGAAACCGTTTTGAATGTTAGGCATACTGTTCATTGTTGATTACGAACGTCTTTTGACATTTAATTTAAGAGGTTTACGTTTATGGATGAATTTGACAGCGACAATGTTTCAAAATTAGGAAGGGAAGCAGTGATTATTTGATTATATAGACGCTTCGCCCCTGACTACTACTACTACTACTACTACTACTACTACTACTACTACTACTACTACTACTACTACTACTACTACTACTACTACTACTACTACTACTACTACTACTACTACTACACTACTACTACTGCTGATAATGATAATAATAGTAATAATAATAATAATAATAATAATAATAATAATAATAATAATAAAACAATGATAATGATGATGATGATGATGATGATGATGATGATGATGATGATGATGATGATGATGATGATGATAATAATAATAATAATAATAATAATAATAATAATAATAATAACAAATTATTAGACGACAAGAAAAGTATAACAAGTAATAGCAATGATGATGATGATGATGATGACGACGACGAAGACACCCACTTAGGCGAAACATTTAACGCTACTGTCCCAAACTCGATGACCGTGAGAAAACAATCAATAACCTCCTCTTTTGCATGGATATGCACCCCATCTGAAACCAATCATTGTTGATCACCCGAACGCTACAATCTGCGCTTGCATTTGAACAGCCCAGACAAGCACTGCTGCACTAGCCGTGTCTTGGAGTAACATAGGAAAGGCTTTTGCAAAAAAGGCAAAAGCGTGGGAAACTTTAATCACTCACACTTTCACAGGACCATTTTGTATGATGAGGTCAGAGATACGCAATTAAGGTCATTGCAGATTGTTATTTATAATTGGAATGAGTTAAATTAGTTCTGGCGATCCAAGGGTGGTCTTTCGGTTATGAGGCAAGGGGTCAGCAATGGTTGAGACAGGATGGGGCAGCTCTTCTCACTGCGTGCACAACGTCTTGAGCTGGCTGACGGGACATTTTGGGGATCGTGTCTTCAGTTACTTATCGGGACTCCCGTAATGAACACAGCACAGTCTGGATTTAACCCACTGATCTGTTTTTGTTTGGAGTGATTACCCCAAAGATCAAATCTCGGGGGAAAGATTTCAAACCCTTCAGGAACTGAGAAATCGAGTCTTAAAGCTTGTGAGAGCTACTACGCAGCAGCAGTGTGGAGAACGCTTCACAACATAATTTAGCCAGAACACAGAAATGCGTAGCATGCTTTTTGGGGTCATGTGGAGCATCTTTTGTAAATCTGATAGGTCTAATGCGGATTACTTTCTTTTATAATGAATTATGTAACTGTCTGATGGGATCATCATTTCCATACTCACCATGGATCAAGATATAGGCAACGAACAAATACTTTCCACCTTTCCCAATCCAGGGCTAGTCGCTTGATGTCACTCCATGTCTTCCCACTTTTCTTAATATCCATTTCCGTGACTCTTCTCCAGGTTCCACGTGGTATTCCTCTTGATCTTTTACCCTGTGGGTTCCAATCTAGCACTTTCCTTGTTATGCAGCTGCTTGACTTCCTGAAAAAGTGTCCAATTCATCGCTAGCGCCTTCTTCCCACCTCCTCTCTGACTGGGCTCTGTCTCGTTCTTCTTAATACTTTCTCGTTGGTGATCCTGTCTGTCCATCTGATCCTCAGTAGCTTCCTCAGACACTTATTCAAGTAAACCTGGATCCTCTTAATGCACGTCTGAGATGCGTTCCACGTCTCACATCCATACAACAAGACTGACTTCACATTTGAGTTGAAAATTCTTAGCTTTTTCCGTAGTGAGATATCCCTGGTCCTTCAAATCCTGTTCAAAGAAATAAATGTAGTCTGTGCCTTTCCTATGCGGGATTTCGTTTCAGCGTCTGTACCTCCCTCTCTGTCAATTATACTCCCAAGATAGCAGAAGGATTCGACATCTTCTAGTGCATTCCCCTCTACTGGGACCTGGTCCCTTTGTAGCGCATCTATCCTTAGGACTTTTGACTTTCCGGGGTGGATCCTCAATCCTACCTACTCTAATAGGTTGTTTAAAATTGTTGTCTTTGCTTGTCTGATGGGATGGTTCCTTTATATTTTTACCAAAGGACTTTGTTAAGCGGGATTTGTTTTAAATAGACGTTTTATTTTGGCGGCCATCGAGTTGGGACACCCTGCTCATGTTTAAAAGCAGCAACACTACGACATTCTGTAAACTAGATCTATGCCCAAGTCTCCATTTCTTTTTACTATACAATGATGATGATGATGATGATGATGATGATGATGATGATGATGATGATGATGATGGTAGTAAAACAACTGATGTGGATATCTCAAACAAAAACGATAGAACACAGCAGACTCACAGCGCTCGTACATTTATTTCTACTTCGAACTATAATAATATAGCCTAACAAACTGACAACCGCATAATGACCACATTGTCAGGATTTATTTAAAACGTCATAATATGCTTCACGAGGTATGCTACAAAAATGCATCATGTGGGACACGTGGGAAGGCACATATGTTATGATACAATGAGACGGTAGGTATACAGAGGGTGCCCCAAAAATCGCGCAACATCCTGAAAACCCTCTTTACGCTTTTGATGAAAACCAGAATAGTGTGCGACGTTTGGGAACAACCTGTACAACACACTATGTCTATGGACAATACTAATAAATGCATGATGTGTGAACATTAGTCCACAGCACACGAGTTATAACATTATGTGATACCACAGTTGAGACGAATCAATATCACAGCACTCATTCACAATATTTTGTGTTTCAGTATATCCATCATTAACTCGCGTACTCATTCTCTCCAAAAACAAACAAACGAACAAACAAACAAAAACAAGTCACACAAACAGCCAGAAAACACGCTCACAACTTCACCACCTTTTCCGTCACTTTCAAAGACATTTTTAAGTTCCAAGTATCCAAACTTCATGTAATATATATATATTTTTTTCTCAGTGCATACTGTTGTAGCATTCAGTGATCATCAAGAAAGGCAAACAAGAAATAGGCAAACATACGCACAAAAACCCCCTAAAGTAAACCAGCTTCAATCAAGAAAGACGATGGGCTAAACTACTGGCATCAGTACTATTTAGGGAGTCGAAGCGTTTTTCGTGGCCACGTCCATTGCTGCTGCTTGTCTTCTTCGGAGCAATCAAGAAGGAGTATCTCTACTTTGTCCTTGGAGAGAGTCAGGCAATTTCCCGACGGGAGGTGCAAGATCTGATTCTCCTGAGATAAGACAAGATAAGTTAATATTTTAAGTTCAATCGGTGAGACAATAATATGAATTGATATATCAAGCAAGAAGCAAAACCTATAGATCTAGCAGGTTACTGAATCATGAATGATCATCTTCATTAGGGCTGAATAAATGAACGACTGAATACTTTGGACAGAAAAGCAAACATTGATAAAACAAGTTGTGAAAGTGTGTGTGTATGTAATAATGCGTGTAGGTAAGTGTGAGTGTGGGTGCAGACGCTGCTTAAAAAAAAAAACCCAACAAAAACAGTTTTTATTTATTGCAGATCCACCCACGGTGATGTAATATTATTTTATCATTCTGATTACTGTGCCGAAGACGCAACAAGCTGCAATTAGAATGTTTACTTTTGTTCTAAACTAATTCATGAACAAGTTCTGGATACCTCGTTTTCTTCTATTAAAATTAAAATAAACAACAACGTCGAATCATCACGAAGTGATCTGCTTCCGATAACGTCATCAATGGAGCAAACAAAGGAGGATGTGAAGAAATCACAGAGGAGCACAGGCGGTTTTTTGGGGGGGCATCATATTTTTGCTCAGCATTTAGAAAAATCTATTTTCTGTGTGATCTTACGGCATTCCCACTTATGTACTACCAAGGATGGAGATAAGGTTCTGGGATTTCGCTCTGTGCTTTGTGAGTGTGTGTGTGTGTGTGTGTGTGTGTGTGTGTGTGTGTGTGTGTGTGTGTGTGT